CTATGCTAATGAGTTCCCCTAGCCCTTTTTCTACGAAATGACCCCTGATGATGCTTTCGAATTATGGTGCCGGAGAAGACTCGTGAGAGTCCCTTGGACTGCAAGGAGATCAAATCAGTCAATCCTCAGAGAAATCAATCCTGACTGTTCCCTGGAAGGCCAGATACTGAAGTTGAAGCTCAAATACTTTGGCCACCCAATGAGAAGGGAGCCCTCACTGGAAAAGACCCTGATGCTGCAAAAGAGCCAGCCCTTGGCCAGATAAATGTCAGGCTTCTGTCAACTAGTCAAGTCCGCCTTGCCTGTCTAGTCAGTATTGCCCAAGCCGCATCGGATGCAGAGGGAGACAATGATCCGGGAACGGTGTTTTGCATTGCAGCTATTACCAAAATCCTCTGGAGATTGCAACTTACACCGACTCCGCTGCATGAAAACGGGTGGCGAGGCTGGCTGTTCAGCAACAGGGATATGAATTAAAAACAGCTGTGGTTTTTTGTTGTTGTTGTTTTAATAAAAAAGTGTGTCTCTGTGTGTTAACGCATTCCTTTCCATGTATCCTTGACTCATTCCCCATTCGAATGTTGTCCTCAGCCGGAACCAAGAAGCAGAAAAGAGGATCTTCCTTCATGACCGTCTCCAACTTCTATAGGGTAAGAGAACATTCGCATCGGGAAGCCTGAGTCGGACCCTGTGGTCCTTTCCGCATTTGCCTGCCGCTCCGGACTTTCTCAGTGTTCGAGTCGAGGCAGTTAGAGGCTGATTCTGCACTGGCGTGTCCCTCTGCTGTTTTACAAAGCCCAGGTTGGAACAGAAATCCCCCCCTGCATTGCATGCCGCTTTCACTTCCTTTGACCATCGGGTTTTATGGTAGCCTCCACGCTCCGTGCCGGCTGTTCAGGGGTGACTCTGCAGTCAGTATGGCGTTGCCCAGAGCTATTTGAATGTGGTTTTGAGCTGCAGTTTTTCCTCCCAGTTGAGAAAATGTGGAGCGCAGGGCTATTTTTGGGCAGGAACGCACAGGAACGGAGTTCCGGCTGGCTTCCGAGTTGGCCACACCCAGCAGGAACTCATTAGCATAATAGGCCACACCCAACAGCAGGAACTCATCAGGATTGGCTACAGTAGGGGTGTGTGGCCTAACATGCAAAGGAGTCCCTGCTACCAAAAAAGGCCCTGGGTTTTGACAACAAACAAGGTAAGCAGAATAAGAAGCAAAAGGTGGGTGTGGCTGGATGACCACACTTCTGGAAATAGGGGGCTGTGGCCTAATAGGCTAATGAGCTGTGGTGTCAGGGTGTGGCCTATTATGCTAATGAGTTCCTGCTGGGCTTTTTCTACCAAAAAAGCCCTGTTGGAGCGAATGTTAGATGCAGAATCAACCAAAGTCCACAGCAAAACAGCATCCAAAGTCCTTTCCTCACTTGAATCTCATCCCTGGTTTTATCCGAGTTCAACTCGCGACACAACACCTTGCGTTTATCTCTGGTTATAACAGCATCCGTTTATCCCGGGACAAGTGTGGGGCGAAACCGGGGTGACCCCAATGTAATGTGGAAACAAAAAATACCCCGGGATAATTACAGGGGTGAACTTGAGCGTAGTGTAGAATGTCAGTTCGGGGACAGGGTTGAACCTGGATTTAAGGGCTAGTGTGGAAAGGACCTAAATAACCCAGAGCAGCGGCAGGCTGAAACTGGGCTGACCATTGAAGGGAGGTAGTGTTACGCAGAACGGGGGGGAAAAACCCGGAATAACAAGAAGGTTGAACTCAATTTTAGGGCCGAATGGGGGTGGGTGGGGAAACCCTAGGGTTGAATTCGATTTTAGTGCAGAATTGCTTCTTTTGTAGCAGGTACTCATTTGCATATTAAGCAACACACCCCTAATGTAGCCAATCCTCCAAGAGCTTACAGTAACCCCTGTAAAAAGAGCTCTGTAAGCTCTTGGAGGATTGGCTACATTAGGGGTGTGTGGCCTAATATGCAAAGGAGTCCCTGCTACAAAAAGAGCCCTGCGACACCGTGGTGAGCATGGATTAAAAGGGGAGTGCGGAAAGGGCCTCGGTGTCAGGCAGCTCTGCTGTGTTCGTAAAGTTCTACTGTGCATGATGTGCATGGTGCGCTGGGAAAGTGGACGTCGGCTGCAGCTTCTCAGCAGGCGTACACCTACTGAAACTTACCGTGCCGTTGTCACACAGGCTGATCTGCGTGCGGCTTGCATGCACCGTGCTGAGCAGAAGTCCTCTGCGTCTACGTGATGCGTAGCATGCAGATCGGCCTTAAATAATAACCCCATCGCACAGATCGGTCTTATGAAAGCGACCGCTGCACCCTCCTCCGGGTCCCGTTCACCGCCCCTTTTCCCGTTTCAGGAGCAGCTGAACAAGCTGATGACCACCTTGCACAGCACAGCCCCGCATTTCGTGCGCTGCATCGTTCCCAATGAGTTCAAGCAGTCCGGTACGTGCTTTGGTTGCTGGCAGCGAGGATAATCCCTCACCCCTTTTTAAAAGGCAGCTTCCTTTTGTGAGCCGTGCTAGGAAATCCCACTCTTTAATAAAGTCTAGACTACTGTAATGCACTGTCTGTGGGGCTGCCCTTGAAGATGATTTAGAAACTTCAAATTGCCGCATTAGGTGCCCCTGAACAAAAAAAATATCACTCTGGAACTGAACAAGTGCGCTGCTTACCTATACCTATAAAAATTCTACATGCTTGTTTTAGCCTAAACAATCTGGATCCTAGGCGCTTCAAGGAACATCTATTCATACCTAGATGTCCTCAACTTTCGAGCACCCAGAAAGGCTGGGCTTCAAATCCCAGCCTGTGGGGATGCCAAACTAGCCTCTGCATTTGGGTCCTAAGCGCTTCAAGGAACATCTACTCATACCTAGATGTCCTCAACTTTTGAGCACCCAGAAAGGCTGGGATTTGAAGCATCCCTATGGGGATGCCAAACTAGCCTCTGCATTTGGCAGGGTCTTCTCAGTGGCTGCCCCGAAGTTCTTGTAACAATCAAGCGGGACCCCAACTCTGTAGAGTGTTTATTCCCCAAGTGAGACCAACACTTCAGCTGTTCTTTCACACGCTGGTTCTGGTTACCGGTACTACAAATCTGATTAGACTCTGTTAACGGTACCCATTGTTTCCGCTTAGAGAACAGCTACTATAATACGACTTCCGGGAAGACAGAAAGGTTGCAGTCCTAAGAATATTTTCCTGGGAGTAAGGCCTATGGAATAAAATGGGACTTACTTCTGAGCAGACTTGCTGCCAAAGAAGCCCAGTGCAGCAAGCAGCAGCATGAACATTATCTTCCTTTTTTGGAGGGGGGACGACTTTCAGATTCCATCACAACAGAGGGCTCTCTTCGTCTGAAACACCATAATTATAGTTTACATCGCAGTCTGGTTAATCCCGCCCTAAACTGTGTTTAGGAACAGCATTCCGTGCACCTTGGTGTTTAGTCATGCCGGCCACATGACCACGGAAAGGTCTTCGGACAGCGCTGGCTCTTCGGCTTTGAAACGGAGATGAGCACCTAGAGTTGGATTCGACTGGCTTTTGAGCAAGGGAACCTTTACCGTCACCTTTTAAACTGTCTTAAGTCTCTGAGTCTTTGCTGGAGATATGGATGGGTAGTGCTCTGAGATACAGCACTGATGAAAACGAAGTAAAAATTACCGAACTAGCCGCCACATTAATAGCCACGGCGCGGCTTTCTATTGCTGCCTCATGGAAAAATCCTGATCCTCCTTCCCTTGCTCAATGGAGAAACACATGTTGGGACCACTTTGTGATGGACAAAGTAGCAGATCAATACGAGTCCCACACACAAAGGTATGCGGGGTCCCATTCCAGATTCATTCGAAAATGGTGTCCTCGCATAACATATTTCACAGGAAACGATGTATTACCAGCACATCCTGGCTATGCAGAATGGCTACATCTATGAGAATTTTTATGGTCTGAGCACTCTCACAAAATACTGTTGAGGTCCTTCTAAAATATATCTAGATTTATTATACGTTACTATTATAGCAATCTTAGAAGAATTGGAAAATCACAAGAAAGTGATAAGGATATGGTCATACGAAGGTCCTGCTGACAAGTTAATAGACGGCATTGTGATGAATGTATCTGCACTCACAGTTTGTATTAATGTTTATTCAGTAATGCTGAGATGTGATGGGTTTATTTATGTATACTTGACTTATCTTTTAATAAAATAAAAAATTATTTTTGGGGGAGGGTAAGTCTCTGAGTCGATTGCAGTGGAGAAATAGCCCTAAAGATCCTTGGCTCTTGCTGTCCCAGTATGGAAATGTTGACAGGTGTCTTCTGCGTTTTCAGGAGTGGTTGATGCTCACCTGATCTTGCACCAGCTGGCATGTAACGGTGTACTTGAAGGCATCCGTATTTGCCGGAAGGGCTTCCCCAACAGACTGCAGTACCCGGAGTTCAAGCAGAGGTGACCTTCGCTTTTTAAAAAATCCCTCCATTCCCGCTGTCACGGCTCAGGTGGGGTGTCACCTGACGCTGCCACCACTCTGGATTTAGGATCCCTCGAGAAGGCCCAGAGCCACCCTCCCAAGACCTTCAGACCTCCCTTTTGGCCGAATAACAGGCGTGAGGACCAATGTTCCCTCTAAGCTGTGGAGTCTCATGAGCAACAATTCTACTTTGTGAGCTCCTGGCCTTAAAGTTGTGAGCGAGCGATTTGGCTACTGCATAGATTAGTTTGCTCTGGAGCCGTCCTTCCTGAGCGAAGACGAAAATGTGTGAGCCGGAGGCTAAAAAAGTGAGAGCTAGCTCACACTCAACTCAGCTTAGAGGGAACACTGGTGTGGACCAGGCAGAGTAAACAACAGTGAAAACAGTTTATTGTATAGGAGGTCAAACAAACAAGGTG